GGCCAGCCCCATGCGGGAGAAAGCGCAAGCCTCCGGGAAAAGCCGCACTGTCAGGATCGAGGGGTCGTCCAGCAAAACATGAGGGAACGACGGTTTCTCCTGGAAACACGCGGCCCCTGTGCGGAAGAGCATGAAGAAACGACAACACAAACGAGCAGGGCAAAAGGCTGGGCAGCCGGGGTGGGCGAACACGGAGGGAGGAGGAGGAGGAGGAGGAGGAGGAGGAGGAGGAGGAGGAGGAGGAGGAGGAGGAGAAGGAGGAGGGAAGGAGGAGGAGGAGGAGGAGGAGGAGAGGAGGAGGAAGGACGAGGAGGAGGAGGACGAGGAGGAGGAGGAGGAGGAGGAGAAGGGGAAGGGGGGGAGGCCAGGTTGTGCCAAGAAACGAGCCAGCCCTTGGCAAATTGTGCACGCAGGGGGCGGCGAACCAGGGTTCCTCCTAGAAACACGCCGGCCATTCGTAGAATCCAGGCAGGGGGCGAGCATACCTAGGGCCAGCCCCGTGTGGGAGAAAGCCCAAGCCTGTGGGCAGCGTGCCCGTGTGTTTTGGGCCTCTGTGGGCAGCCTGCTGGGGCCGCTGTGGGCAATGTGGTGGGGCCTCTGTGAGCGCGCTTGGGGCCTCTGTTGGCTGAGCCTGGGGCCTCTGTGGGCAGCGTGCTGGGGCCTTTGCGGGCGCGCTTGGGGCCTCTGTGGGCTGCGTCTGAAGCCTCTGTGGGCAACGTGCTGGGGCCTTTGTGGGCGCGCTTGGACGCGATTCCGCGTGTGTCCCTTTCTTCCACCGATTCTCTGCGGACGCCTTCCACCAACTTCGACGCGACCTCCTCCTTCGCAGCAATGTCCGTCCAACAGGGCAGCCCAGCGCCCGAAGGCAGGGCTGCCCAGCGAAGGAAGACCCAGCGCTGCTCCAGAGTCAGCGCGCCCCCAATCCCCCTCATAACCCTCACCCAATACTACAAACGAATTGTTTCGACCACGCGGCCCCCATCCATCCTCCTCCCTCCCCTGGCGCTGGGAGTCGAACACCATGAGCCTGCTCCCTCCCCTGGCACGCCGAACACCATGAGCCTGCTCCGTATCCTGCTGCTGCCGATCACCTGTCCTACATATTTTCCGGCCCATGCCCACCCTCTCTCTCCCTCACTCTCCCTCTATATATATATATATATATACATCGTTCTCTCTCTCTCTCTATCTCTCTCTCTCTGCTTATATATATATATGTTTTTATATATATATATATATGTGAGAGGGGACGATTGTGGTATCATGCGCGATCCTCCTCTTTCTCACGACCCACCTCCTCCATCACCATCCTCATCCCTCTCGCCTCCTCTGCCTTATCCTCGTCTTGTTTCTGTTCCGCCTCATCCTTTTATTTTTCCCCCCCTCTCCCTCCCCCCTCTCCTCCTCCTCGTCCTCATCGTTTTCCTCCTCGTTCCCCCTTTCCCTCTCTGCATCATCATCATCATCATCATCATCATCATCATCATCATCATCATCATCATCATCATCATCATCATCATCATCATCGTCACCATCAGCAGCATCATCATCATCATCATCAATCTCCTCCTCCTCCTCCTCCTCCTCCTCATCATCATCATCAGCATCATCATAATCATCGTCGTCATCGTCGTCATCAGCATCATCATCATCATCCTCATCTTCATCCTCATCCTCATCCTCATCCTCATTATCATGACAATCATCGTCATCATCATCATACTCATCATCATACTCATCATAATCAAAATCATAATCATCATTATCATCATCATCGTCATCTTCATCGTCATCGTCATCGTCATCGTCGTCGTCGTCATCATCGCTCTCATCATCATAAGCACCACCTTCATCATCAGCATTCACATCGACCCTCATCCTCACATCCTCCTTGTCGTGGTCATCATCCTTCTGGCTCATCATCGACATCATCACCATCATCGTCGTCGTCATCATCATAATTACCGGACTCGCTGACAGGCGCTGAACCGTTGACCGGTTGTCTGGTTGACCAACTGACCGGCTGACCGGCTGACCGGTTGACCGGCTGACCGGGTGACCAGGTGACCGGGTGACCGGGTGACCATGGTGACCCGGTGACCGGGTGACCGGGCAACCGGATGACCCGTTGAGCGGCTGACCGGGTGACCGGCTGACCGGGTGACCAGGTGACCGACTGACCGGTTGACCGGCTGAGTGACCGGGTGACCGGGTGACCGGGTGACCGGCTGACCGGTTGACCAGGTGACCGAATGACCGGGTGACCGGCTCACCGGGTGACTGGGTGACCGGCTGACCTGCTGACCTGCTGACCGGCTGACCAATTGACCGGTTGACCGGTTGACCGGTTGACCGGCTGACCGGCTGACAGGTTGACCGGCTGACCGGCTGACCGGCTGACCGGCTGACCGGCGCATGTATTCTCCTTTCTGAAAGACTAATAGATTCTACCCCCCCCCCCGGACTTATCGATTACCCCGCGCGTGCTGTAAATCATATATGATTCTGACCACATGTCCATCCTAAGTATGAACTCATACCATCCCAGCCAAGCCGGGTTCCCCCCCCCTGCGGTTCCCTGTCAAATAACACTATGCGGGGACATTTTTCTTTCTAACATAGCACTTTTTCACAAATCCCTTGCAAAAAATGGGACGAAGTGCACACGCGCGCGTCGTCGCGCGCGCATGCCGAAATCCTTCAAAAACCTTCGGTGCCGGAAGGATTTCGCAATCGAGTTTCCGAAAAACATACAAAAACACATGGTTTCGCAATACTGGTTTGCTAAAAAACTTCCGCGCAAGCTCTTGCGAAATCTTAAGAAAACCGCATGTTTTTTCAAGATTTTCACAAAATGCTACCAAACGGGCTTCGCGCGCGCGCATGTCGAAATCTGTCGAACGCCCTTGCGCGTGTGCCGTCGCGAGAATCCTCTGCAAAAAATGGGACGAAGTGCAGACGCGCGCGTCGTCGCGGACGTATGCCGAAAACCTTCGAAACCCATCGGTTTCGGAAGGATTTCAAAATCGTGCGTCCAAAAAACCTACAAGAACCCAAGATTTCGCAACACGGATTTTCAACAAAAGCGTGCGCGCGCGCTCTTGCGTCGTCGTCGTCGTCGTCGCCGTCCTCCCTCCTCCCGCGTCGTCGTCGTCGTCGCCTACGTCGTCCTCTGTCTTTTCTCCTGTTTGTCGTCGTCGTCCTCTTTGGCGTCGTGGTCGTTTCCATCGTCGTTGTCGCCGTGGTCGTCCTTCCTCCTCCTCCCACGTCGTCGTCGTCGTCCGTCGTCGGCGTCTCATCGTCGTCCCTCCTATGTCGTCGCCGTCGTCGTCGTCGTTGTCGTCGTCGTCTTCCCTCCTCCCTCGTCGTTGTCGTCGTCGGCGTCGCCGTCCTTCCCCCTTCGTCGTCGTTCGCGTCGTCACCGTCCTCCCTCCTCCTTCGTCGTTGTCGTCGTTGTCGCCGTCGTCGTCCTTCCTCCTTCCTCGTCGTCGCCTTCGTTGGCGTCGTTGTCGTCGTCTTCGTCGTCGTCGGCGTCGGCGTCGCTGTCGTCGTCGAAGTCGTCGGAGACGTCGTCGGTGTCGTCCTAGTCGTTGTCGTCGGTGTCGTCGTAGTCGGTCTTAACAGGTTTTGCAAACCAAGTTGCGGGTGGGTGGGTGGGATGTTTGCGCGAGCAGTGGAGAAGACAACTTCAAGTTCAGCAAATTAATTCCACCATAATGTCCTTCGATCGGCGGGCGGCCCCGACCGACAAAGCGATCCCGCCAGTGCCAAAACCTCAGGAATGACGAACGGGCTCGCTGGCAAAGCCACAAACGAACGCAATCATACCCAAGTAACCACCGAGCCCCTTCCGAACCCTTGCTGGTTATAATGTTCGCGTCTTGGCTCTAGGGTGAAGACGGTCCAAGGGGCCCACGAGAAGGAAGAAGAGCGCTCCAGGACGCCCACTATGGCTTCCAGACAATCCAAGCAGCCCCCAAGGACGCAGTAAGAGGGCCTCAACAGGCACACGTCATTGATTACCCTTAGGCTTCTGAAGTGCATTCATACATACATATGTATACGCGTGCACATAAACATATGCATGGTCATGTATATGTATGAGGATGCACTCGCGTACACGTGTGTATGTACATCTGTATATCGTATATACAGATCTATCTAGATACGCATATCTATACTATAGATATGTGCACCTGGGGGTACCCAATAGCCCAATAGCCCAGTAGCCCTATAGCCCTTTAGCCCTATAGCCGTATAGCCCTACAGCCCTGTAGCCCTATAGCCTTATATCCCTATAGCCCTAATAGCCTTATATCCCTATAGCCCCATAGCCCATATAGCTCTATAGCCCCATAGCCCTATAGCCAGCCCTATAGCCCTATAGGTCACAGTCCTATAGCCCTATAGCCCGATAGCCCTATAGCCCTAAAGCCCGATAGCCCTATAGCCCTATAAGGGAGCATTTGGAAGCTAAAAAACATATGAGTTGTTTTTGTTCTCTGGTATCATATATAATATATATATACATATATGTATAAAAAATGTATACATAATTATCTACATCCACATATCTATACTGTAGATATGTGCATCTAGATAGCAGACAGGGAGGGAGGCACAAACGAGATAGAGAAAGAGAGACGGAAAAACATGTGATGCATGAGTCGGAGAGAGAGAGAGAGAAGAAAGAGCGAGAGAGAGAGAGAGATACATGTGAGAGGAGTACAACACGAGAGAGAGAGAACCACACGTGCATATGTCTATACATTTGTTTATATAAATTTGTGTGTATTTGGATACCTGTACATGTATATGTACATGCATGTATCTGAATGCATACGTGCACATGTTAAAAACATGAAAGAGTGCGAACGAGAGAGAGGGAGGAAGAGAGAGAGAGATGAGAGAGGAACAGAGAGGAGAGGAAAGGAAAAAGAGAGGAGGATCAATGACCTCCGTGAATGGATTATGGGATTATTGCCGCAGGGCGCAGGGGCCTCCTCCCGCTTCTCCTCCGGCAGCGAAGGATTGCTGTCGTCGGATATCTGTCTCTCGGGTGCCTGAGAGCAGCGATGGGGGTAGCATGAAGCGGCACATCCTGCTCCTCCTCCTCCTCCTCATCTTGCCGTACCAATTGCACGGGGTGACGAGAAGCGGCTCGCGATGTGGCAACTGTGAACAGTGAGGCCGGGGCGCGTCTTGAGCCAAATCCTCTGAATTTGCTTACTTGCCCGTTTTCCTCCTCCCCCTCCCCCAGACAGCAGATTTTCGACGCGAAGTAAGTGTTTTATCTCAGCGACATTAGCGACATCCCGATTACGAGTGGGCAGTGAAGCTCAGGCTCGCGAATGGACGACAGGAAGGAGATCCAAGGTTTTTCAGTTCAACCCAGCTCCTCCTCATCCTCCTGCTCCTCGTGGGTTGTGGAAGGCGTGGCAGAGAACAGACCGAGGGCCGTCTCCCCGCCCCCTTGCGCCAAAACCACTCGGCAAAACCCCTGCACCTGTGTGATCGATATGACTCCCCTCTTGGGCGCGTAGGTGCAGGAGGGAATCGGAATGGACCTGGCCAGAGAGAACGCCCTGTGCGACTTGGCATTGCCTGCGTCATTCGTTGCCGCTTTCTGCGCTCCTGCGTCCCCGACAATCTGCTGCCTCTCTTTTTCCATTGGCAACTGACAGACGGTCGCTGCCCACACACCCATAAATGGAGCTAAGTGGGTTCCCGGTTTTACATCAATTCTTTCAGGGGGGTCGTGGTAAAACAATACGGTGTGGGTCAAGAGAACTGATTCCAGGCTCCAGAGCCGATATCTATGCGAGGGGTGTGCCAGAACGTGTCAACCAACCCACTAGCCAACCAACCAACCGACCAACCAGCCAGTCAGCCAACCAGGCAACCAATCAACGAACCAACCATCCGCTCAATCAACCTGGCGAGATCTCTTTTTGAACCAGAACTGGACGACGGCAACGACGACGACGACGAGGACAACGACGACGGACGAGGACGACGACGACGAAAACGACGACGGCGACGGCGACGGAATGGAATGGGATGGAATGAGATGGGATGGGATGTGAGTTGGAATGCGATGGAATGGATTGGTAATGGATTGGGATAGAACGGGACAGAACGAGAGCAGGAGCTCCGACAAGCGGCAGAGGCTCTGTTCCATTCCGCTACATTCCCGTCCAATCCAATCCCATCCTTCCCATTCCATTCAATCCAATCTCAATTCCATCCAATCCCATCTCAATCCATTCAAATCCAATCGCATCCAATCCATTCAATCCAATCTCAACCAATCGTATCCCATCCCATCCTACCCCATTCCATGACGTTCCGTCGTCGTCGTCGTCGTCGTCGTCGTCGTCGTCTTCGGCTTCGTCGTCGCCGTTATATTCGTTTTCGTATTCGTCTTCGTCGTCGTCATCGTCATCGTCGTCGTCGTCGATTTCGTCGTCGTATTCGTCCTCGTCCTCGTCGTCGTCATCGTGGTCGTCGTCGTCGTCGTCGTCGTCCTCTTCGCGGTCGTGGTCGTGGTCGTGGTCGTGGTCGTGGTCGGCATCGTCGTCGTCGTCCTCGTCGTCGTCCTCCTCTTCGTGGTCGTGGTCGTCGTCGCCACCACCGTCGTCGTCGTCCTGGTCATCGTCGTCGTCGTCCTCCATCGTCGTCATCCGTCGTCGTCCGTCGTTCGTCGTCGTCTGTCGTCCATCATCCGTCGTCGTCGTCGTCATCGTCGTTGTCGTCGTCTGCGTCGTCCTCGTCCTCGTCCTCGTCGTCCTCTTCGTCGTCGTTGTCTTCGTGGTCGTCGTCGCCGCCGCCGTCATCGCCGTCGTCGTTCGTCATCGTCCGTCGTCGTCCGTCGTCCTCCTCGTCGCCGTCGTCGTCGTCGTCGCCATCGTCGTCGTCGTAAGAGTCGTCGTCCTCGTCCTCGTCCTCGTCGTCGTCGTCCTTATCGTCGTCGTCGTCGTCCTCGTCGTCGTCGTCTTCGTCGTCGTCTTTGTCGTCGTCGACTTGGTCGTCGTCGTCATCGTCGTTGTCTTCGACGTCGTCGTCGTCCTCTTCGTGGTCGTGGTCGTGGTCGAGGTCGTGGTCGTGGTCGTCGTCGTCGTTGTCTTCGTCACCGTCCGTCGTCGTCGTCGTCGTCGTCGTCGTCGTCGTCGTGTTCGTCGTCCTCGTCGTCGTCGTCCTCTTCGTGGTCGTCCTCGCCGCCACCGTCGCCGCCACCGCCGCCGTCGTCATCGTCGTCGTCGTCCGTCGTCATCCGTCTTCGTCCGTCCCTTTTCGTCGCCCGTCGTCCGTCGTTCGTCGTCGTCGTCGTCGTCGTCGTCGTCCTCAACGTTGTCCTCGTCCTCGTCCTCGTCGTCCTGCTCGTCGTCATCGTCGTCGTCCGCGGCGCTGCAGCGTGGCAAGTTGAGTTTTTTGTGCTCCCCTTGGCGTTCCCACGTGGCGATTAGGAGTAGAATTGCGTGTTCCCACCACGCGGCGCTGCCACGTGAAAAACTATAGTGGACTAGTCTCGTTTGGCTTCCAGACATTGCCACATAGCGAGTGGACTGGAATTGTACAGGGATGCTGGAAACATAACTTACAAAGAGGTTAGAGCAGGTAAAATGGCATCGGCCTGCGCCCGCGCAAAATAAAACCAGAAGCGGGCCCTGGCCCCGAAGAAAATAAAACAGCGCGCCCGCCATGCTGTTGCGCGGCCCCCGCGGCGTTACCAGGTGACGAGTAGAATGGAATCCGCCACCATGCCTGCACGGAGCGGGCGTGTCAGAACGCTCATCCGTTGCCGGGGAGGGTTTTCAATGCTTTCTGAGGCCCACCCCCTCCTCGACGCACGCGTGCCTCTGAGATCGCCCATGTGAAGTTGCTTTCGGGTACTCTTTTCGGCTTCAAAACGGCAAGGATGGCCTCTGAGACGGCCTCCAAGGCAATCAAGATGACACCAAGATGGCCCAAGACGGCTCAAGAGGCTCCCAAGATGGCTTCAAAACAGCTTAAGAGGCTCCCAAGACGGCTCACGATGTCTCCAAGAGGCCATCAAATGGAGCCCCGGGAAGCAAACACTATCAATTTGCCGTAGGTGTTTGAAAGTGTTCGAGGTTCTCGCCTAGTTAGGTTTCCGATCGCCCAAGGCGGCCTAAAGGGTTTCTGAGATAGCTCCAAGACAGCCCATGAGACCCCCAAGAGGGCCTCGAGTCGGCCCAAGAGGATCCTAAGATCGCCCACGAGGCTCCCAAGAAGGCCCCAAGACGGCCCTGAAGCGCTCCAAGAGGGCTCCCAAGACGGCCTCCGAAGGCGTCAGGCGGTCCAATCGATTTCCCAAGGCGGCCCAAGAGGCCCCAGGAGGCTCCTAAAAGGCCCCCAAGAGGCGCCTCAGGAGGCTCCCAGGAGGCCCCCAAGGGGTCCCAAGAAACTTTCTGCTCCTCGTCATAATGTTCACTTTTCCCCTCCTCCTCCTCCTCCTCCTCCTCCTCCTCCTCCTCCTCCTACCTCTTGAATGGCTGCGGAGGAAGGGTCCAATCAGTGCCTCCGAAAGAAAAGCACAAAAAGACAGCGAGGCCAGCCCCATCAAAGGGGCTTCTGTCGCCGCCGACGGGGGTTCCATCCCCCCCGCCAGCGACACGACAGGGGCTGACCTCGGGCCCCTCCTCATCCAGGCCACGCCTGGAGGAGGGAGCTTGCTCGCAGAGAGTCGGGCCCAGAACATGCTTGCCATGTGCTGAAAGACATGGGACGAAATGCCGTTCTGGAATTTCCCCCTTGAAGGGGGCCCCCGTGCCTCCACAAACTCGGCACCAATACAACCCACGGAACTCGGCGGAACCCGTGAACCTGAGAAGGGATCCCGAGACAGTCAGGGCTGGAGGGAAACAGCTCGGTCTCGCGCATCCTTAAATAAACAAGTCTTGCAACACCACTGTCCCTTGTGGACCTTATCAACTTGATGCCGAGTCTGGTGCAACAGCTGCTGTGTCAAGTGCTTGTTGGCACTCTTCTGTTGGGCAGATCTGTTCTTGCCCTCCTCGAGCCGATTTCCTTTGGAAGAAGCTTCGTCCAATCCTTGCGCCTGCCGGGCCAAATCCGCTGGCCTCCTTGTGGGGTAGGACGAAGGTTCGCAGTTTCCTGTGCCAGTTGCAGCTTGCAGTTTCCACTGATACAATTCTGCTTATTGCTGCTTACTGTTCCTTGTTGATGGACCGCGCGAGGGGGGAGAGGCCCAAACGGGCAGGTTTAGCACGCCCTGAGCGTGTGCTCTGAATTGCTGGGGTGGGTAAAAATTGGCACTCCTCACGCAGATCGGCGGGGTCAGGGTCAAAAAAAACATGGGATTTGCCACATTTCTGACATTCGGTGGCACCCCTCACGCAGATCGGCGAGGTCAGGGTCAAAAACAAATTGGATTTGCCACATTTCTGAAATTCGGTGGCACCCCTCACGCAGATCGGCGGGGTCTTGGTCCAAAAACACAAAAGATTTGCCACATCTCTAAAATCCAGCAACACACCCTCACGCAAATCAGCGGGGTCAGGGTCCAAAAACACATGGGATTTGCAACATTCCTGAAATTCGGTTGCGCCCCTCATGCAAATCGGCGGAGCCAGGGTCGAAAAACAAACAGGTCCCGACACTGCTTCACGGCGGCGCCCAGACCTCATGATTTAATTTTTGCATCTCCCATTATCCGAGGAAGGCGGGAGGCATGGGGCGAAGCCTTACGGATCAAAAGAGACCGCCAGCAAAGAATCCAGGACCTTGGAGGTCCTATCGTCAACCTCCGCTACCTGCTTCCGATCAACAAACTGGATCTCGGCCATATTGGCTCCTTCCTCAGCTGCGTTGTCTCTTAGCCTACTGACCGGCCAGTGGAAGATGGCATGCCCTTGGGCCAGCGCGTCTTCTAGCTGTGAGCAGATGTGGCCTTAAATGGACCTGTCCCCAACCGCCTCCCCAAACTGGCGCCACAACTCTATCGTCTTCTTACGCTTGACAAGGGGCCCCGCTTGGATGCCCTTGACCACTCCTTGATTACCAATGCACAAGCTATGGA